ATTAAGTGTATTGCAAAGTTGTATTGAGAAAGAATAAACTAATTTTATTTAAGAAAGGAATTGTATCGCTCAAGTCCCTCGGAAAGAATTTTTACGGGAAATTAACAAACAACCAAAGACGTAACAATACTATCTTACAGAGTATAGTTTTGTTTTCTTTGAACGCCGACAGGGTTCTTCACAGAGAACCAGTAAACAAAAATTCGCAAACAGAGTTCTTTATTACAAAACTAGCATTAAAACAGAAAAAAATATGAGCATGTGTTTGCTTTGAGATTATAGAACTGGAGAAAGAGTCATTAGAATCGTCAATAGTTTGCTTATTTGTTGTTCTTGGACGAAAAACTACACAATGGGCTATCTATGCTGTGCCCAGCACGGGTGTCGAAATCCGGTTTTTAGACTTGCAAGCCTCCAAAATTATCGCTGAGCCACCAAGAGGTATTAAATTTAGTTGTTTAGTTAATACATTCTGTGTGAGTCCAGGGGTGTAGTCAGGGGCCGAAAGACCACTCAACATTCTAAAAAGGCTAATGGTTCCACTATCTTCCGATTTTTTAAAAATATACGCTTAACTCCCGTGTAAATCTCTTAACTTCTTTGTGTAGAAGAAGAGGTCTATATTTATCTGGAAAAATACCATCCACTCTATTTTGTAGTGTTGGCTATGCCCGTGAAATTCCCCTGTAATCTAAAAGAAAGAAAGCTAAAAGTGAAATTTAAAGAAACACAAAACTGAACTTTAACAAAAGCTAAGACAAATCTATGCAAACGTTAGTTTAAGATAAATTTCAACAATGTTTAAAATTCTCACTTACAGAGAAGAACCTGGGCATACCTAATTATGCATAAACAAAGCAAGGCTACTAACGGCAAGAACATCAGTCACGTGACTCCAGTCCAACACACACACTCTCTCTCTAGCCCACGGATATTGTCATATACAGGCATATTTTATGTTTCCTTCCCACTTTTAGTTATATTGAAATTTTAAAAAAAATCATTTATTTAGCTTCTATGCACTTGCAACGTAAACACGTGTTACAGAAAACTGTTGAGGTTGCTTTGTTTTAGTTGCTTTATTTTAGCTCGATCTATTGTGTTTATTGAATTTAAAGGAATGTTTCTGAACTGATAATGGTATATTCACAAAACAGAAGTACTCATAACTAGAAAGGAGAGTTTGGTGGAAAGAGACAACTACTGGAAAGATGTGTTAGGTCAAGAAGAAGCCCATGGTGCAAAGGTCCATAACATTGATCAATTTTTAACTGAGTCAGGGGGAGTTGTTCATGTTTGAAATACCCAGACCAACTGGATCAAAATGCATCCCAGGGAATCGATCTTGGTGGAAGGGAAGCATGGACAACTGAGAGTTGTAGAAGTGGAATGGCATTTGATAAGTTTGAGATTACATAGGAAAATCTCTACAGGACTCCTGAGCTGTCACCAGTCAGAGCATCACAGCCATAGCTATAGTCCAGACCATTAGTGTCCAATGAAGAAAAACTGGATACCACTGACGGATCTCCTCTACTCAGAGTAATTTCCTCGACAGGAAAAACAATGGTCACCCAGTAAAGCTGATTAACCATGGGTGATGTACCTTTCAGGACTGGAAGGTTTTATGCAGCACTGACAACAGCTCATGATGCCTAGGGTTGTACAAAACTGTATAACAAGCCAGCCCAAATAGCTCATTGCTTATTTTAACAACTTATGTCGGATAGTATCTCTACCTGGCATCGGTAAGGTTCCCATGAGAGAGAGAGAGAGGCTTTGGCCAGCTGCATAGACCCTATGAGTGAGGTCAAATAGGTTATGCCTTTAACGTTTAAGGGAATGACAAAAGATGATCTAGTCTCGTTGCCATAGCATTTCAGACAGATTGTTGCCTGGAATAGATGAACTCAGAAAAGGCTGATAAACACCTGGGCCTGAGCTTAGAAGGTCTGTCCTTTGACACTGTTGAGCACCTAGACCAGAAGCAGCAGGATTACTGGACGATAATTATATATGAGATGTATATCCAAATCAACCTGGTTGAAAAGCAGGCAATATATTGGGCCAAGTTCAGCCATGCCTGATCTCCAATGAGTAGGCACAGCTATGCAGGTCCACCCATATAGTAAATACCACAGCCCATAGTATATAAGTCATGGCAAGGTCCATTCTTGAGATATGTATGTGACACTGCAAGGTTCACCCATCGGATACCCACCACAGCAGAGATGTATGTCTTTGCGTTATACAGGATGGGAAGACTTAGGAATCTGTTTTGCTTGTCAACTAGTGTAGCATTAGCAGAGGAACTGCCCAAAATTTGCTAAGAAAAAAAATGGTAGAGCGATCAGTTTCAGATAACAGCTCAGCAGATTACAGCCAACCCATACACCAATATTGTGTCAAGCAACAAAGGCAAAGTTATCTGTACCAGCTCTTGAATCAGCAGGTTTAGAACGACCAGCAACAAACAGTGGATGCTGCAGCAAACACTCTGGAGAACTGAAGGATCTCAAGTCAAATTTGGCCACTGGTTTGGAGGAGTACAGTTAACTGCTTGTACCCAATAGTTTGATGGCATGTCCAGCTTTGTCAATGCTGGATGAGGCTTGGTATGTGCCAGTAAGAGTAAAAGGTTGAATTTCTGGTAGACAAAGGAGTTGCATGAGTCCTAGATGTCCAAGCAATCCTTAAAGCCCTCTAAGTGAGATCATTAATATGGCCTCTATGGAGGAAGTGATAGTACTTAAACTAAGCGAGAGAACATGACTTGGTGCTAACAAAACTGGTTAAAGGTAATGGTATTGTTCTATTAAATAAGGATGACTATGTAAATAAAATATTAAATGTTTTGGCCAATAAAAGAACATTAAACTTTAATTCCACTAAAAAAGGGAAGATCGACTTCTATGTTACCTTTAAAATTGAAAAAATAATGTAATCAACAACAAAGTTTATAATGACATTACACCATCTGGTTTCTCATTATAGTATTTTGTATGACCTACCTAAGA